TGGAATGACATAGGCTATAGTTTTATATTTCTTTTTATTTTGTGTTATATACAAGTTAGTAGATGAGTTTAAAAGTTTATTGGAATAAACATAAATCGTCATTTTTTAATACAGTCATCACAAAAGTGATGAGATTCAATTGACTCATCTGCAAGTCTTCGTAATGTTGGTATTTGGAGGAGGTGTAGTGGTTTATTTGACTGGTGACATTTATAACAACATGCTACATTCTTACTTTTTTCCAGTTGACGCCATTTTTCAACTCTCTGGTATATTGATAAATTCGGATGGACTGTTTTTAAAAGGTGTTCTGGAGAAATGTATTTTAAGAGAGGTTCCATAAAAGTATCAAAATTATGTAATTCCATATTATCGAAATCAAAATTGGCATTCATTTTTTATCTAAAGGGTTAGGTTTTCAACGATGTTTGAGGTTTTAAGCAATGCTATAATATTTTTTTGTATCTCTTGACTTTTATAGACATAATTCAAAATCTATGTTGGATTATATGAGTGAATAATTTTTCTTAAAATGTGGCGTACTTTATCTCGTCTTTCACAACCCCACATTAACATCACACACATTGTCACGGTTACAATGATACCATACATAGTAGGAATGACACTGTATTTATCTCGTTTAGGCAAACGTGTAAAATATCGGTTAGAAAGATATTGAACATATCTTTTATAATTGAGTTTTGATTTAGATATTTGTTTAGAAAAGACATCACAGATATTTTCGGAATGAAATACTGGCATCGTTTCTGTGATTATAGAATATATATTTAAAGAAGGAAGAAAAAGGCCTCCGTAATCAATTAATTTAATTCGATGAATGTCATCATTGGATACAAATACATTTTGAGGATTAATATCGTAATAAGTACCTGATATATATTTGTCAGTAGTATTATATAAGACTAATTGAACATCAATAAGCTGTCTAAGAACTGTAGTAAGCAATTGTTGACGACAATACTGATCATTTTTCAATAAGTCGACTTTTTTCCTTAGTAGGATCCAATCGCGTGGGTTTAAGTATTCCATTTCGATAAAGTAGCCTATAGATTTAGATTTGAAAGGACATTTATACTCAATATTATTCAAAGAATGAGGAACTTTTGTAGGTTGTGATGACTCTAGAAATTTATCTTGTGGACAGTGTATTACATTATAGGCAGTTTCGACCATAAACACACGATACACTTGAACAAAGAATGCCTTTCTGATATTTTCATCAAGACGTGCAATGTTTTCAATCTCCATTAAAAAATCCCTTTTCCGGCGAAAACTCTTTCGAGCCACAAATGTTTGTAGATACTTTTTTCCTCGTTTGTGCTTCTTCTTAGAAGATTTAAAAAGTTTGGAAGCCGTGTGTGGGTAAATATTTTGAAACACATGTATTTGATGTGGTAATCTAGGATCAAGAAGTTCAATAGTAGGTACTTGGACAAGATCAACTTTACCATAGGCACCTTTCCCTAAATGACGTTTGTGGGTATTAAATGTAAAACGAATATGATTAGATATTCTATTATTTAGTGTTTCACATTCATCAGGCTTAGTCAATTTGTTTTTCCCCTTAATGACTTCCATTTTTTAATTATTTATGATATAATCCCAACTTGAAAACGGATACCAAACCCAACTCTTATAAGTCTTATGAAATTTTGATAGAAGGTATAAAAAAAGAAAAACGTATATATATTAAATATATCATAACTATATATAATACAACAGTTTTTGTTTTTCATATATTATAATACAAACACTGTCATGACAAATACAACTGAAAATATTTGAAGTAATTCACAAACTATTGGACTGAAATGGAGGAATTTATCAAGAAAGGTAATCAAACATATCCTAATCTCTTAAAAAAAAATTCTTTGGCAACATATATTAGAAGATAATTATGGACTGTAATGGTATAACCAATGTTTCTTTCTTCTTTGTAGATAACTTGGAGTTTATTAATGGAGACATTACTGACCCTGTATATAGAAGCCCCAATATAGCGCTTGTACAATTAGTCAACTGTGTAGCTGTTAAATCTCATGGACTTTCTCAGATTCTTGCTGAGATATATCCATACTGTGGTTCTTATACACGACGCCGGGCAATAGGCACTTTAAACTGTGCTATGCTTGAAGATAGACCTCAACCAGGAAATATTGAGATTTGTCATCCTAACACTGTAACAAAGGGACCAGTAGTTATAAATGTTTTTGGGCAGTTTTATATAGGGAAGGAGAAAAATCAAAACCTTTATACTAAAAGACTCATACAGCAGTTACAGCAGTCATGTACTGTTGATGTTGGACCTAAAGGAAGAAATCCTAGGCATTTAGAACCTTTCGATCATCAACTTTTATCTGGCCTTTTAAAAGATACATCCCAAAACAGTATTTATTGGTTTAATGAAGGTCTAAATAAATTAGCAGTGCAAGTATCTAATGGAAAATACAGTTTGGTAAATTTTCCATCGTTAATTGGGTGTGGATTGGCTGGTGGAAACTGGGAAAGAGACTACTTACCAGCAATTATAAAATTTTCTAGACAGGTCTACCCCTTTGGTGTCAGAGTTAAAATTATAAACAAAATTATGTCAAAGACATCATAACAATGAAAAGAATAGTTAAACCTCCTAATTTATATATATTTTTTTTTTCATAGGTTCCCCCCTTTATGACAAAAAAACCAAAAAACAGGACAGTGTCATTAACATAAATAAGACGGACCTCCACCCTCCCTGGTCAATTGTTGTTGTGTGATGATTTAATCCTGACAACAGAATGAACCAGTCATTGGGTTTAGATATGTTCCCTAAAACTTTATGAACTGATTGAGGTGAGAGAGACCATAGTTACTAATTGAAGAAATTTTATCTCTACCCTTCTACCACTACTACTACTACTTCCATCCTACTCTTATTTACCCTATCACTTTTCAGACATCTTTCTACATACCAAACTCGAGAAAAGTGCAGTTTTTTGTGTTTATTTTTTTTTTTTTTAGAATAGTTAATTATGGAATAAAGAGCTTTTTCCCCTTGTTTACAACTCCATTTCTTCCCCCTTTTTTTTAATTAATATTAATGTTATCTTTCATATTTCTTCTAGGTTTAATATGGAATTATCCCTGGGGAAATGTCCAAAGAGAAGACATTTAAAAAAAAATATATACAAAATATCAAATTAAAAAAACTCAAGAGGTTGCCAACTTTTTTTGACTTGCAAGATTTCTCCTACAAGGTCAAGATTACAGCAGAATATCAAAGTGAGAAACATCATAGAAATTATGACAGAAGCAGAAAAGGCATCGTTAACTATTATATTTAATTGTTCACCAAATATCAGATCAATTGATACTGATATAAATCTGTTTGAAAATGAACATGATTTTAGACAAGACGAGTGTTTTGAAACTAAGAATAATTCTACAGTCCTGGTTAAAATACCATTTTTGAAAAAATATCAAACAAACCTGGTGTCCAACCGACTCTGGGGACCTGATAATAAGGACGTTGTCATTGATATATCAATTAAACACGGTTCCCTTAAAACTATCAAGAAAAATGTCATTCGTCATCAAATTGTATCTTGCCCCATTTGTTTAGATATGAATGGGTCAGGTGACATGGTTTTTATGTTTGATGATTATATGGTTGGATGTGGTCACAGTATTTGTCCTCAATGTATGTTTACATTATCCGCCAAAATTTTGTTGGGTAAAAAATCTACTGGGAAATTTGATTATAATAATTATGGCTGCCTTAGATATATGAATAATTCTTATGGGATGTACTCTTTTTTATCAAATATTATCTACAAAGATGAAATATTGTGTCCACTTTGTAAGCAAATAGTAAAAAGTGTGTTTGTGTTGAATATGCATCATCTAAAATGTAGCATTAGGGAATTTTCTCGTAAGTATGCCCAAATCTTATTTTGGGGTAATCAAACTGACAGGCTGTTTTTAGAAGCTGCAACTAGTTTTATATATGGAGTGGAGCAATTGGCAGTCACTGATTTGTATATAGAAAGATATATTATGGAAAACAGTTGGATTTTTGACGAATATGTGACACCAGTTACCCTATACCTTAACTTTAATGAAACACTTTCAGAGATGAAACTTGTTTTTAAGAATTTACAGCCATATTTATTAAAACTAGCCTCAAAAAATTCTAATGATCCATCAAATAGAAAATACTTATTATTCTTTAACCAACTTTGTCATAGAAAGGGGGGTGAACCAATCCTGAGAGCAACATTCATTAAATAAAACAATTAAAAAAAATGTGTTTTTGTAAATAAATGTATATGTATGTGTTATTTGTACCTCTGTTTGTGTTTCAATCAGAGGGCATTAATTTCTCAGGCAGCAACAGGTACCACCTAGCGTTCATATTCATATGACAACCCAAGGCCAGCCATCACCACTTCAGTTGCAAAGTCCACCGCAGGTACAGTCACAGTTGCCACCCCAGGGCCGACCTCAGGGCCCAGCTCAGGCACCAATGCTGTAAAAACTCTAGTCCGAAAAGTTAAAATGTCATCCTTACCACATTTCCATATCATATTTTTATTCATTTTATATATATATATATATATATATATATATATATATATATATATATATATATATATATATATATATATATATATATATATATATATATATATATATATATATATATATATTTTTTTTTTGGATAATGATAATGATGATGATGATGCTGATGATGAGGAGGAGGAGGGTGTAATTAATTATTTCTTATGTTTTCTCATTTGAAACTGTGTTTGGTTGAAGTTGTAGCTGGTTAGATACATTATCCAAATCTGTATCTACAGTATTTTTTAGTCCATCTTTGAGCGTGTTTTGACTCAAGGTTGTGCAGTGTGCTCTTTTTGTAAGTAAGTATATGAAACATATAAATAAATAAATAGCATACACCTTAACCTTTTAAGTTAATGTGTTTTTTTTTTCAGAAGATGGGTGAGAGGGAAAAAGGTAAGAAGATCTTTATGCAGAGGTGTGCACAGTGTCACACTGTTGAATTAAACGGCAAGCACAAAACTGGACCCAATCTAAATGGCCTCTTCGGCCGCCAAACTGGTCAGGCTTCTGGCTATATTTACACTTATGCCAACAAGGCCAAGAGTATCACGTGGGACAAAGATAATCTGGATATCTACTTGACCAACCCCAAGAAATTTATTCCAGGCACAAAGATGGTGTTCGTTGGTCTTAACAAGAAGAATGAGCGTGTAGACTTGATTGCTTACCTGGAAACCTCCACCAAGTAGAGCAAGCACTAATATTTTTGTGGTCTCACCACTTTAAATCAATAAATCATCCTGCTATCAAAATTTACTAAAAAAAAAAAAAAAAAAAAAGAAGGGCAGTAAAAATTACAAAACGTTGCTCAAAGAATGGAGGAGACAGCTGGTTGCCTGGAGTAGATGGTAGCAGTATCAGCTGAATTATATAAATATCAAGTAGTCGCAGGCTACTCTCACATTTTACATCCACTGACGGCCAACCAACACACGCCTCGCTACTCTTCCATCCAATAGAAATTTAGTAGCCACATTCTTACTAATATTTGGAATATTCAGGTGTACAAAGTGTGATGATATATGTTGTATTAGGCTAGGAAACCTTGATCGAATTTATCATTTAAATTCGGCGAAGAGCGAATTAATTGCTCGAATAGTGGCGAAAGAATACGGATCATTTTATGTAGAAAAGGTAAACCGCGTACTTTTCATAACCCGAAATCCCCATCTCTTTATGGACCTCATTCAAACGGGAGAAAAGGAAGAAATCTGTCATTTTATTATAGAAGACGAAGGTTTATCATCATCACCACCACCACCACCATGTAAAAGCACCTACAACCCAAATACTTTGCAGGCAATGTGCGTCAATCAATTTGTGAATTCCTTTTTGGATATTACTAGAATGGGATATTGGATCATGGCCTGTTTACGGACAGCAATCAACACCAACCGTAATATTCCTCATTTATTTAAACTCCAATTAATCAACGAAGTTCAACGGAATCTAATGATTAGATCGTGGGAAAGAGCATTGGCAGATGAATTGAATCAAAACAATTTTTTTCAAAAAAATCACCAGGCCTTAGAGAGAATATCATTAGGATGTTATTGGTTGTAACGGAATAAAAATCTGGAGAGGATTGAACAAACTGACAAAACCATTAAAAAATATCTCTCATTATTATTTCATGATAATTAAATTTAATGTGGGAATCATTAATATTATCATTTATTAACTTATATAACTTATAAGCTATAAATAATTATCTTATTAGATTATGTCTCAGGGGTAAATAATATAATCCAGGAATTTTTTTTTATGTAAAATTTTTCATTATTTATATGTTCTATATCTTTATTAATGAAAAGTTCCTCTTTTTTGTTCATATTTTTTTAAATCCTTTAAATATTCAATTCTAATACTTTCTCGAAATGATCTGCCCTACCAACAAATAGGGAATTAATTATTGGCTAAGATTTATTGTCATATGAATTTTTTATTATATATTTGTGATAGAATTTAATAAAATAAATCCCAATAACATATGGTCTTTGTTTCAAGGTTATCTGACCATGGCATAGACAAACAAAGACTACTTTTTTTTTCTGTGGCATAACGTGTCGATGTTAATGTACTATTGGATCAAAGATCAAAGTGACTGACTGAACTCTGGCCGATGGTAGATTTAACCAGTTCAGTTATCATTTTCTGCACTTCAGAAGAGTTCATCATTTGAATAAATGGTTACTAAAATATGTTCTCGTTTTTGGTAAATGAATGGATGGATAGTTAGTGAAATTCTAAATTTTTATTACTTTTATACTTCTTGTCAATTTGTTTTTCCTAATTTGTGATAATATTTGCTGAAAACTTTGTTCTGGTTGAATTTATACTTAAATTTTTTTTCACACTCATTGTACATAAAGGGATTTACTCCTACTAACATTCAGAATACTCATTTGCATAAAGCTTTTAAAACCATGGTATCCATGTTTCCCTTTAAATCTTTTACATCTTCGATTACATCAAGTTCCCAAATAAAAAAATATGTAGACAAATATTTTTCAATTGGTTTAAATATTACTTTAGAACCATCTATAAGTAAATTAATACAATTTAACCCCCAAATTGTAAATGTTTATGCTATTAAAATATGGATGGGATCTACTCAAGAAGGATATCCTGCGGCATCCCAATTGCAATTTATACTGCGAGTCTTATTTAATGAGGCTGAAAATTATTGTTCTTATATGTTTGTAGAATTCTTCTCTAACATTGACCAAAGAAGCATCATGTTCTGTGAACATAATTTCAAGTACCCCCATGATCCGGATTACTAAATAGTGCCTATCAAGGGATATAGGTCCTACGCCAAAGATCCTTCCATATTTCTAATGATGATACAAGCTTCCAAGCAGGAACGAGAAGCTCTGAGAGAGATGATGATAGCAGACGGAATATCGATTCCATCGTCATGTAGCAAAGTTGATCAGGCAGCGCTGAAAAAGCTTATGTCTATAAAACAATATTTGAATCGGCATTATTATTTCAGGCACATGATGTTTAAAAATATACGTTGGAAATTAACCCGAGATGTGAGAGCTTACGAAGCATGGTTTAAAAATAAAAAATGGCTTAAATACGTTAATCGCAGGATTATTCGACATAAACCCTATTGTTTACATGATGGGTTTGCATATTATCATCACAAGCCTCGTCAAGATATAATTTATAGGGACCCCAACTATAAACGTTATTATCCGTATGGGGTACCTGAATATTGTAATAAATGGTCTGAAAATTATACATTTCGGGTTTTCAGTGATGGTGATAAAAAGTGTGATGATATATGTTGTATTAACATAGGAAAGCTTGACAGAATTTATCATTTAAATTCTGCGAAGAGAGAATTAATTGCTCGAATAGTGGCGAAAGACTATGGATCCTTTTATGTAGAAAGGGTAAACCGCGTACTTTTCATAACCCGAAATCCCCATCTCTTTATGGACCTCATTCAAACGGGAGAAAAGGAAGAAATCTGTCGTTATATTATAGAAGACGAAGGTTTATCATCATCATCCTCACCACCACCTCCATGTAAAAACACCTACAAGCCAAATAGTTTGCAGGCAATGTGCGTCAATCAATTTATGAATTCCTTTTTGGATATTAATAGAATGGGATATTGGACCGTGGCCTGCTTACGTAGAACAATCAACACCAACCCTAATATTCCTCATTTTTTAAAACGCCAATTAATCAATGAAGTTCAACGGAATCTAATGATTAGATCATGGGAAAGAGCAGTAGCAGATGAAACAACTACTGAACTTTTATTTCAAACACACCACAGACCCCGAGATGAGAAACATTGGCAAATTGGATAGCGATCACTATTCATACATTTTATATGGTTTAGTGACGGTGATGACCACTGCCATTTAATGAAACTCGTTCACATGTCCAAAACAGTAGTGACATATTTATTGGGATTGTGTAAGAGACACAAAGCACTGTGTAGTATTTTAAGTTATTTTACTGAATTGATTATGTTATAAAATATTTGTTTATTATTCTTATAATAAATAAATCTTGAAGTTAGGAGCAAATGCTAAAAGTATAAATAAAAACCATTGATGAATCTTAATAATGTAATAATGCCAAACCAATTAATTCACATATTTCTTTACATTACAAAGGAAACTTAAGTAACTGAATGGACTCTGGCCGAAATCAAGGCCTTTAAAAACGTATTCGTCTTTCGTTTTGTATAGATCCTGTTGATCATTTCATTTACTGACGACGTCATTATACTTGGCTTCAATGTCCCCACCATCATTATTACCCCCTCCTCTCATATTATTTGAGATAACTAAAATTAAGTCAAATGGTATAAAAAGGGGAACTAATCATTATTAAAAGTACAAGTTTTCAACAACTATTGTCACTAATTAGAAATTAAATTTTTGTAAGAAGTGTATAAAAGTAATAAAAATTTAGAATTTCACTTAACTATTACATTCATTTGCCCAAAACGAGTACAGTAATAATAAGTATAATGACGTCGTCAGTAAACGAAATGATCAACTATATTTTATTCTTTAGAAAAGAGTATGATGCTGTAAAACTTAAACATATCTTAGTAACCTTTTATTCAAATGATGAACTCCTAGCTACCAAAAAAATTTTGGTATCATATAATAATGGTAAGTGGTGGCCATTGGGAGTAGAAGAATTTCATTGTACATAAAGGGATTTACTCCTACTAACATTCGGAATATTCAGCTGCATAAAGCTTTTAAAAAAACATTTTATCAATGATTCCCTTTAAATCTTTTTCATCTTCGATTACATCAAGTTCCCAAATAGAAAAATATTTAGACAAAGATAATTCTTATCTTTTAAATATTACTTTAGAACCATGTATAATTAAATTAAAGCCATTTCTTAGACACAATATTGTAATTGTAAATGTTTATGCTATAAAAATATGGATGGGATCTACTCGAAAAAGATATCCTGCGGCATCCCAATTACAATTTATACTGCGAGTCGTAGTTAAGGAGCATGAAAGATATTGTTCTTATATGTTTGTGGAACTTCTCTAACATTGACCAAAGAAGCATCATGTTCTGTGGACATAGTTTTAAGTACCTCGATCATTACTTAAAATGGCCTATCACGGGATATAGGTCCTACGCCAAAGATCCTTCCATATTTCTGATGATGATACAAGCTTCCAATCAGGAACGAGAAGCTCTGAGAGAGATAATGATAGCAGACGGAATATCGATTCCATCGCCATGTAGCAAAGTTGATCAGGGTGCGCTGAAAAGGGTTATGTCCCTCAAACAATATTTGAATAGGCATTATTATTTTAGGTACATGATGTTTAAAAATATACGTTGGGAATTAACCCGAGATTTGAGAGCTTACGAAGCATGGTCGAAAAATAAAAAATGGCTTACCTGCATTGATGACAGGATGAAACAACATAGACCCTATTGTTTACATAAAAAATTTGGTTGTAACGACCCTCGTGAAGATATAATTTATAGGGACCCCAACTATAAAATTAGATCTCATTTGGGGGTACCCGAATATTGTAATAAATGGCCTAAAAATTATACATTTCGGGTTTTCAGTGATGGTGATAAAAAGTGTGATGATATATGTTGTATTAACATAGGAAAGCTTGACAGAATTTATCATTTAAATTCTGCGAAGAGAGAATTAATTGCTC